AGTAAACGTAGTAAACAGTATAGTAAACATCAAACAGATCAAAACAGTATCACAAGAATATTATGACTTTACAAAAACACATTACAAAAATAAAACAATAAATGAGATCATAATAAATAAACATAAATAAATAGAATTGTATTTAACAAATATTTGTAACATTTTCTAACAATTTAACATATTAATTTTCACAAATGAATTACAACTTTTCAAATGTTATGTTTATGCTTTTGGAAATGGATCTGCTTCTTATTTTGCATTTTAAGCCCATTTTGACCAAAAGCAAATGCTTTCTGGAAATGTAATTGTGCAAGTGTAACTGTTTAGTTTATTATTTTTATATTATTCATTCATATCGGAGTGACGGCGGAAGTTCAGCAATATTTAATATTGTGTGCAAAACAATCCCGCAGTGTTCTCATGCCTTGTTAATTAGTGCACACAAACAGCACTACTTTAATTGAACATATATAGATAGCATGTGACTACCTTGTGAACTACCTTGTCTTTTGATTGATGACAACACTCCGCTCTCGCCCAGGTTAAGTTCTTCATAGCTAAAGCAGCCGGCGCACGACAAGTAATCAGTATAGCTCGCAGCGCCCTCTGCTGGTGAAAATAATCATGTTCAATAATGTTTGAACGATAAAAGTTGAGATACAATAATATAAAACACAAACCAGTCTCAATTCAAGTGTTTTCCATTATAATCATGTTTCTTCACTAAGAGCTCACTACAGCTTCCTCAAAATGATAGGACACTTCGTCACCTTGGAATTAAAAGGTAGGCTGACTTTTTTTGTGTCAAAATTGAGTTATTCACATATTATTTTTCTGTGACAACTTATTTACATTGTCCATATTGGGACTTTTTAATTTAAAAAAATATATATCTACAAAGTATATGTACAAACTTTGAAGCTCAATATCTCATAAAGATATTGAACCTTATAAAATAATAAAAAAATTAAAGAGTTTTAGATTTTTTTTCCTCCCCCATTGTCTTACTGAGCTAATGACATTTCTATCCTATAATCATACTAAACAAACTAATTATACTATAATCATACAAAACAAATGTGTGCATGTAGCCTATCTGGGGACCTGTCTTGAGCTGAACGGTAATATGGACAAAACCAACAAAAACATAAAATAGCAACATCTTCATCTGCTAGTAACTGTTTAGTCACTTGGATGAAAACAAGGTTTTGCTGGGTAGCATGGCCCTGTTAGTCCCAACTAGCAGATAACATAAAACCTCATACAACATACATTTGGAAGTCTATTTGCTCAGAGCTCTGTTAGGTATGTTTTGTGCCATTGATCATCCTCATCTTCCTCAGTAAATAAATTTCTTCATGCTATGTCGGCGGTGAATCCAGTGAGAAATCATCCCACAACTAACTGCAAACTGGCATTCAGATCTGCCTCCATTTTGTTAGCAACGCCCCAACTTCCAACAATCCAATCAATTCCCGAAGAACGAAATCAAGTCCCGCCCTCTCATTTCAGATGCCGTTTCACTCGGATAGATGTCACAGTAGAGAAAAAAAGACAATCGCTACTTCCGTTTCATGCCGACTTTAAAAACGGCATAGCGCAGTGCCCTTCACGCACACTAAATCCACACTATCTCGAATACCACTCCGGAGCGCTATTCAAGGCTTAGTGTATCCCATCATGCATCATGTTCTGGAAATAAAACCTACGAGATCTAAGGAATTGTCTCGTTCTACTGAACCAAGTATATGCATTTTGTCTCATCTCATGAGCTAAGTTTATTGTCACACCCCCTTGTGTCGATAAGTGGTGATATACTGTAGCTCATAATTTTCCAAGTGTATGATATAGCCTAGCTTTCATTCTTCAGGTCAGTCATATACTCGTGAAAAAAAAAAAAAATCAGTTTGAATAAAGAAAGCGATAACTTTGCCATAGTATCCTTTCAAATATTAAAGTTGCCACAATCATTGCATTCTTTGCATGTGCTGCACTTTATTTGTACCATTTATTTTATTAGTTTATATATTAGAATTTGAAAGACAATAACAATATTTTTTTATAAGTGATAAGTGAGATCCGATTTTAGTCCTTGAAAACCAAAAGAGTAGTGCTTGAAAAAGCCCTTGAAAGTTCTGGAATTTCATTTTGCAGTATCTGTACAAACCCTGTTTAAGTTACCAGTTCTTGGAGCATTTTATTTTGTTGTTGTTAATTGAACTGAACTGTAGTTTTCTGTAGTAAACTGACTTTGTGTATTTACTATTTTATATTAATTTCCTAGTATTTAATTTACTATTATTTCTTTTGAACAAAACAATTTCAGAAATTTCATGTTTTAAATTGTAGGTCATCTTGTACCCTGTCAAGGACAAATCTAACCAGCATAACTTGATATCAAAAGCATCCTAAATGTTACATGTGTATGCATTATAGTGAGTAACCTTTCCTGGTATAGCTGTTTCAAATAGCCCACCATAATCTGTAGTCTGAGCCTGTCAAGGGCTAATATGTTATTAGTTAGTTTCAAGGAAAATCATTTTCAAATAATGTTGTTTTTTTTTTTTTGCCAAATAACCCAGCAACCCCCAGAAAAAAGTTAAGGCTTTTTGTTGCTTTAACCCCTGTACAACACAAAGTCACTGAAAAATTAATAAGCCTTACTTTAAATTCTGTGCCCAAATGACAATTTTCTTCGGAACCATTTATATATCAATTAACTTATAATAATAATAACAACAACAACAATAACAACAAGTCTTATTCTGTAATGTGAAATCTGCACTCATTTTGTTTTTCTTTCTTTTTTCCCCATTAATGCATAATCAGTATACATATAATCGTAGGTTATGCAGAGTACAACAGAAAATGAAAAATCTAAAAGTTGATTAAATGTAGTTGTAGTTGTCTTAGACTTAAAGACACCTGGAAAAGTGGATACATTAGTCAGAAATAATGTGTTTTGATTATCGAAGCTATTGTAGAAATACTCTGGTCAGTTACTCTTCAGGAACTCGAGCTGCATCGGAAAACGCTAGGGGAACGCCCTTCAGCATGACGGGCTCTGAACCTCGTGTGTAATCAGACCAATAGATTGGCGAGACGTCATGGGCGGGTGACGTAATGACCAGGAAGCTATAAAAGCACGTGCGGTAAGACCAGCGTCAGCTTTCTGTCATTCAGCAAGCGCTCTGTGTGTGTGTCAGTTGTGAGTCTTATTTGGTGTTGTCTGTCCCTTAGAAAGAGAAAAATAAAGAGAGATAGAAAAAGAAATTATGTCTAAAGCACATGAGAAAAAACACCATTTGAGCAGGGGCGAAGGTGGCCAGCGTTTCATACTGTATGTTCCTCCCTGAGCTCGGCGCTCCGCCTGTCTTCCTCCGAGGAGGTTGATGTGGTGGGCGTCGATGAGGATTCACCCCCTCAATCACCCCAGTATGAGGAGCTTTTGGAGGTGGTAACTCATGCCGTGGCCTAACTAAATATTGAATGGCCCGCCGAGCAG